CTTAGAGGGGGAACGACAAAGGGGGCCAAAGAACAGCCCTTAAGCATTAAGTGTGCAGGACAATGAGATTCTGACCTGCATCAAATGCATCTCGGCCTCAGTTGTCTCTCACCTCCAGGCCCAGAAAAGCAGCAAAACCAGACAAACAAGGCCATGACTGACACCAGGACCAGCTGTATTGACCATGATGCCCCGCTCTCCCCACCCCCCTCCCAGGGCTGGTCAATCAGTGGAGACCATGACCCTGAAAGGACACACCTGAAAAGCTGATGATTGTTCTATTGAGAACCTCCCCTGGGACCTCCCCTAAAATCCCCAGCCTTAAATACCCTCAATGGAGGACCCAGAGTAACTCTCTCTCCTGGGAGCAGGACCTGGCCTTGCCTTCCTCCTCTCCCTCCCACTCTTCTTCCCTCCAGGGCATTACCTCTACCTTTCTTTCTCCTAAGCTCCAAGTGCCCCTTCTTTTGCCTTTGTAACTTGTTTCCTGAGCCCATTCCTTCTACAGTTCACTTCTACCTCTGGGACTTTCTAAATAAACTTTCTCTTATAGTTTTAGTCTTGGCTCTGAATTCTTTCTTAGCCAGAACTCAAGTACCGAGGTTACTGAGCTGATGTCCTGTCTGACCCCATCAGTCTGATACCCAGTGCCATTCTTGCCGCCAACATTACTAGTCTGCAAAATAGTAGCTAAATAATAGTTGGATTAAAATAAAATCCAATATTAGTTACCATTTTTAATAAACTTAAACCAAAGTGTATTTTTGTTGAGATTTGTAAATGCTAAATTTTAGTGATTTAATTCATGTTAAAACATTTACTATAAAGTCCTCAATAATATTTAGAAAACAATGAATGTTGTCTTTTGGAATACATCGTAATGATTAAAACATTTCTGTCGCTGATTATTAAAAGTAATATCATTTTTTATATTGCCAAAAGAGTCCTTCTCATCTTGGAAGATTTTACCCTACTCAGCCCTTTGACTGTATGTCTCTGTGTTTAGCGCGGGATTATGCCTAACTGCTTAGGATCTGATACACGAATTAAAGCTCAGATATCGCTGCATTTTAGCAGCCATCTTCATTATTACCTGGACACAGTATGATAGGAGAGTATTGATACTCTCTCAATTGTGAGATGAAAACGTTACAAAAACAGAAATGGGAAAGACACTTTGGAGTCTGTCTTGTAGCCCCTCTAATACTTTTATCAACATGCTAATCTGATTTTAGATTAAAATCCTTAGAGTGTTAGAAAATAATGAGTGTTTTATAGGAAGAGCTTGTGATCTGAACCTTGTCTACCCTCAGTTGATTAGTCTGTTGGGTGGTTGGTCACTTGGTGTCTGTCTCTCTCTCTCTCTCTCTCTCTCTCTCTCTCTACTAAACTTTAAAAAATGACCTTTCTAAATTTTCTATTCTACTATTGTTTTTCACAATAAAATTTCTCTATCCACACTCTCCCCACAGGCCAAAATTCAGTCTAAGATATGGTTCTCAGTGGTGGCTGTATATTAGCATGACCTGGGAAGCTTTAAAATCCCAGTGTCCAGGTTGTACCTTAGACCAACTAAATCCAACATCTGGAGATGGTGTCCAACATCCCTGTGTTTCAAAACTTTTTAGGTTATTCCATTGTGTATCCAGGGTTGAAAACCACTTTAAAAATAATGAATAAATTATGCTTGAGACTTTAAATTATCTTGAGATGAAACCTTTGAACAAAGAGACATTTTCCCCACTAGTTGCCTCCTACAACTTACACATCCCAATATACATACAAATGTTCTTGCAAAACAATTATGGCTTTCATAGAAGTTATTTCTAAAGGACTACTCTAGCATCACATTTTATTTTTCAGGACATTATATCCTTAGTTCACATAACAGTTACTATCATTGGATACTGCTGTGGGAATGACCATCTACCCAAGCCAGTATAACTGCAGAACCAGCTCAAACTATCCTATTTCTAACAAGATACTGAGTTGCTTTTCAGAGATAATAGTGCAAAACCACAAGTCATGCAGCCGAAGCATGAGCAGAAGAGAGAAATTTGACCTCCAGTTGCACGGGGAACCAGTCTTTTTCCCTGCACAGAACCCTTTCTGCTGTCCAGAAAGATGAGGTGCTGAAGCCCCTTCCCATATCCTATATAATAAAAGCCTAATATGCTAAGTGTCTGGTCATCCAGTCATCCATTCAACAAATCAAAGCGTAATTTGCTAATGATATGCTAAGGCCCCTCGACCACTCGCTATGACGTGCACTGACAACCAGGGTGCAGATGCTCCGACCAGTAGGTTAGCATACTGCTGGGGTCTGGCCAATTGGGACTGAGCAAGACGGCTGGACACATCCTAGAGCCCTCTCTCGTCCCTCCACAGGCCCAATCGTGCACCGGTGGGTCCCTCAGCCTGGCCTGTGACCTCCCCCTATCCAGAACCCCTCAGGGGATTCTGAGAGCCTGTTTAGGCCCAATCCCGCAGGCCAGGCCAAGAGACCCCACTGGTGTACGAATTCATGCACCAGGCCTCTAGACTTACCCTAAAGGGTCAAGTCCCAAAGCTCTGCAATCAAAACCTTCCACACCAATGCTTCTGCATACCAACCTGTTCCCACAGACCCCATACAACTTGCCTTGAACCCTGGATCAGGGAGACAGACTTGAGCCTTGCCTCCTGTCTCCTTGTGTGTCAACTTAGCAATAAAAGCTTTTTATTTTCTCAAAAGCTGGTGCCATAGTACTGGCTCCTATATGCCTCAAATATTAGCTCTAAACTCTGGCTACTCACAAAATATTACTTAAGGACTTTCAAAACATAAATTCTCCAAGAGTTGACACTGATCAGAATAAAAATCCCCAGCATTTTGCCTAATACTGTGAAGAACACAATTTTAAAAACTGAATATTCTCCTCCTTTTCCTCCTCATCTTTCTTCCTGTTTAATATTAATGGCATTACTTGATTTTGGCCAAGGCTGCTTTTTAAAATAATTCAACTCAAATAGATTCCTCAAATTTTAGTACTTTAATTTATTCAAGTATAATAAATACACATAACTTTCCAATGGAATTGAAATATTTTAGGAATAAATGGGTTAAACTTTTTAAATTTTTTTCTCATAATAAAAGAAATAAGTGAATACAGATCTGTAATAAGAGTTTCAACCACTATATAATATGGGAAATTTCTTATATTACTGTTCCTATTTCTCTAGATTATTTCTTCATTATTTCAATATTTTACTCATATTGAAAATGTCTCTCTTTAAATATGTTGTCAGTATCATTAATCTAATTTCTACTTAGATGATTCTGATTAGATGTGTCTGGGTGTTCCTGACATCTACATTCTTTACAACCTTCTCAGGTCATTCAAATGGATAGCCCAGACTGAGACCCACCGCCCTAAGCCTTCAATAGAAATTTCAGTCTGAGAAAATGGTTTCTCAGTCAACAAGAATAGATGGATAGAAATAGAGATGATAGATAGATAGATAGATAGATAGATAGATTTCACAAATGTTTTTAATAGAGAAATATTGACATGTGCATACATCTCAGAGTGAAGGACAGTAATATTTCCATATTTAAAAATGTTTGGTTCTGAGAAAATGTATTAATGCACCATTTTAACATATCCAAAGAGAAAAACCATGTGAGTATCTTAACAGAGTCAAAAACAGGTTGATAAAAAATTTACCAACTAGCCCTGGCCAGTGTGGCTCAGATGATTGAGTGTTGTCCTGTGCACTAAAAAGGTCACTTGTTCAATTCCTGGTCCCTGGTCAAGGTGTGTATGGGAGGCAACCAATTGATGTTTCTGTCTCTCCTTCCCTTCCTCTCACTCTAAAATCAACTTAAAAATAAATAAATACACTTATATTTTAAAAAATTCATCAGCTATTCATTGCAAAAGTTTTAGCAAACTTGGAATGATGGGGAACTTGCATAAGGTTTCTAAAAGGAAAAAAAAACACCTATTATTGCAATTGGTAGCTCTTTTTATTATTATTGATTTTTAGAGAGAGAGGAGGGGGAGAGAAACATTGACCAATTGCCTCCCGAAAAACACTCTCAACAGGGATCAAACCTGCAACCTTTTGGTGTGAGATGATGCTAAAAAAAATGTCTAGGGAAGGAATGCTCAGTATGGTGTCTAGTGCTCCAGAGCTATGGCTGGCCTTCCATTTTCTTCTATTTTAAAAGAAAACCATACGTGTACCTTACCTTTCTCTTCATATACAAATGGTCAGTAACTATTGGGTAGAGTTTCATCTAAACAACCCAGGTTGAAGCAAAATAGAAAATGGGACGAGCTTCCAGCAGGAAGTGATCTGCTCTGCCCAGCACTCATCAGCAGGTTAAGTCACTCCATTGGCCATAGACCTTTTCACATGAAGATATTAATGAAATATCTTCAATAGAAACAGTCTGAGGCAAGTAAAAGTGAGTGGGAGTAAAAATTGGAAACCTAAATCAGGAAATTTTTTTTCCATTTTATTTGTTAACTCATGGTTCAGGATTTGGGAACAATTTGTATCATTTCAGATAGGTCCTCCAGACAAAAATATAGTAACTCAAAATATAGTGTTTAAAGAAATTATAGTGTTCTATCATCTTTAAGTTATTTACCCAATAATTATTTTTTTAAGTTTCAACACAGTTTTATTGAGAGGTGTTGTTTGCCTAGAAATACACTAGAACTTGGGGAAGAGGATATGTTCACTTTGAAAGATAAGATTTTCCTAACACTATGAGAAAGGCATGGTGAAGGGTGAGCACACAGCAGTGTGGATCTGTATTCCCACCTCCTTGTCCTTTGTTTGCATTTCTTTCTCATTTAGCAAGTACCAGAGAATAATAACACAAAGACAAGAAAAAAAAATCCAGCAAGATCAACCTCTAACCAGGCCACACCAGGGCAGAGAGGGTCAAGGGTCACACATCTGCAACTTTGTCAACTGAGTGTCCTTGCTTTCCCACAATGACTCACCCAGATATTCCCATCTTGATGATAAGGTTTCCAGTTCCTCCCAGTGTCACTGTAGAGCATACGGTATTGGGTCACCCAGTCTGAGCTGCTGTATCTTCCTTGGGTTGCAATGGCACTGATCTGCTTCCGATTGCCAAAGTCAACCTGAAGCCATTGATAATGGTCACTGTCAGATGGAGACCATCCCCCGGCACCTGAACAAAGTAGAGACAAAAGGGGAGAATAGATATTTAAAGTTAAACTTCTATAATTGACAATGGATTATTTTTCGTCTTATAGTTGGCCTTGGCAGTGCTGTATTTCACACAGATATTATGAAATGTCCTTTACAGATGCCACTGGGACTTCCACTAATATTCTTCCAGCTGGGTTACAGTGATGCTCTAACCTCTTTATGGTATAATTATGTGCTCATTTTCTCCTGAGCAAATGTCTTCATAATTCCTCAATTAGATCTTATTAGTACATGTCAAAGTCTAATTGGCTGAGGGTTGATCAATTTACCATGAATTCTTCAACTCAAAATCACTAGGAAAAATATATGACAATCTATTAATTCTTCACACAAGGTTTTATCTTTTAGTAGATTATAAATGTAACAAAACGTAATTATACACAACTCTAAAATATATTTTGCTGTCAAAAGGTCAGAGTTCAAAGAACACTAGTTCTTAAGATGAGGCATAGTGTTATATTAAGCCCCTGTACTCATGAGAACTAAGTTAGTAAATCAGGCAATATGTTCACTAACTCTTGAGAAATATATAACCTATGACTCTTAATAATCACATTTCTAGGAAAATAATTCGAGTTGCTAAATGAAATGAAATTCTTTTGGCAAAATATAATAAATACTTGTAAGAATGCAAAAATATTTACTAGAAAAATGGCACTAATATAGAACAAAAGGCTCCTAATTTATACCACTATGTAAAATAACTGTGGTTGCACATAAATACATTACAGAAAATATGGCATAATGCTTGGTGCTAACAGGCAACATAATTTTTTGAGTGAGTTTGGCTGCTAATGGGAGAAACTAAGAGAAAAATATTTAATACATTATCCAATTCAGAGTACACCAAAATATATGCATCATTTTCAAATAAGGAATTTAAAGGCTGAAAATAAATGTATTCAATGACGACCATGGTAATAAAATCATTTTGTAAATCATCACAGATAGGTCATTCATTTAATGATGTTTATATGGCTTATTTTTGCTTTCAGCTATGATAGAATAGCTCTCCCACCACAAAAATTCACAAACCTGACAAAGTGTATATTAAAATTACCCTTTTTGGAGATTGGACAACAGTCAGTGCAGGACCCTGATCCATGAGAGAAGATAAACAAGTGAGGTGAGCACTGCCAGCTCCTGGCTTTCTGCCTGGTTCATCTTCTGGATCACAGCACATGAGGGAGTATCCCAAATAGAAACAGCAGCATCACTGAGATGGAGACAAATCAGAAGCATAGCTACCGAGGACAGGGTTCCAGAGAGAGGCAGCTGTGCCAAGAAAGAGCCCGAGAAGCTGCACAGGACCACCAATGAGTCTCTACAGCTCTGACTCTGGATGAAAACTGAGCTGTGTATTTGAAACCAACCTTCCTCAAGACCCCCTGGAGGGAGTTTTTCAAATGAGCAACCAGAGGATGCCCAGGGCTGAGACTAGGTTGATTTCAGATGAGACAAGATTGAGCAAACTTGTTGAACAACCCTAGGTTTCAGTAGAGATCTCAGAAAGGGATTAGAAGAAGTTAGCTCTAAAACACGGGCTACCCTGCACACATCTGAACAAAGGTTGGTAACTAGCCTGAAGAAAGATCAACCTTACCCACAAATAAATAAGTCCTTGCTTAAACAAAACTCAACACTCCATTAGGAAGGCCATGGAAGTTTAGAAACTCAACAACATAGCATTTATAATGCCCAGTAGAAAAATTTTATAAAATACTAGACCTTTGAGGAAGCAGCAAAATAATGACTTATTACCAGAGAAAAGTCAGTCAATAGAAATTGACTGAAAAATGACAGAGATGATAAAATTAGCAGACCAGGACTTTAAAACAGAGATTATAAATTAGTGCCATTTATAAAAAAGATAATATATAAATATTGAAGACACAAATATAAAATCTTAATGGATAAAAGAAAGAATAAAAATTAAAAAAATGAAAGTTTTTGGACTAAAAAATACATCTGAGATAAAACTTTTAATGGATGGACTTAACAGCAGATTAGAAGTTGAGGGGGAAAAACACTTTAGCATACTTGAATATAGGGTCATATGAACCTTTCAAATTGAAGCTCAGAAAAGGCTTAAAAATGAACAGTACTCCACTAACTTATAGGATAATATTGTGTCCTAACAGTCGTGCAAATGGAATACTAAAAGCAGAGAAAGTAGAAATTAGGAAGAAAAATATTCATTTGAAGAAATAATGGTTGAAAAATATAAACCCAGATATATGAGAAATTTACCAGATTCCAAAAAGATAAATAAAAGAAAAACACACCAAGACACCTCACAATCAATTGGTAAAACAAACAAACAAACAAAAACAATGCTAATGAGAAACTCTTGAAAGTAAGAAGAAGGCAATAACATCTCAGCAAAAACAATTCAAGCTGAAAGACAATGAAACAGCATATCTGAGGTGATGAACAACAACAACAACAAAAGTAAAAGGGAAGCTGCCAACAAAAAGCTCTATATCCAGCCAAAATATCCTTTAAAATGAAAGCAACATAATGATATTTAGGACAAAAGCTGAGCAAATTCATCACCAGTAGATGTGTACTATAAGAAATGGAAGTTTTCCAGCTCCAAGGTTAAATTACTGTATTGAAACTCATACCAGTACCAGTATATATCCATGAAGAAACATGCTGAACATGGTAAACATGTCCATAAGTATAAAATATTTGATCATGTTTTTAAATTTCTCAAAAAGATAATTGAGCATTTAAAATAAAAGCAGTAACAATGAATTAGAGATGTAGAAGTAAAATGTATGACTAGAATAGCACAAAGGATAGAAGACAAGAAAAACATATACTGTATTGAGTTTCTTTTATTTGAAGTGATATATTATTTGATGATTGTGAACCCTAGATCAAGGGCCAGCAAACTTTCTTTGTAAAGGGTTAATTACTGAATGTTTTAGGCTCTGTAGGCTATACTACATCTGTTACAAGTAGTAAACTCTGTTGCTGTAGCATGAAGTCATAGGTAATACAGTAAACTCTCCATTTTACAGACCTTTATTGAACGGACTTCGGATGTAATGGGTAAAATTTCCGGTCTGTATGTCATATGTGAAAATTAACACTCTGTTAATTTTAAAATCCTTTTAAGCAAAATTTGCTTAAAATTAAATTAATAGGTTATTTTTTGTTATTAATTCACTGTTATTTTAAACAAATTTTAGTGAATAGGCTGTATGTTGGAAAAAACACTGTAGCAATTTATTTATAGTAAATAAATATTACATATTTACAACTATAGTCTACATATTTTAATCCAGGAGTCATCACTCATAAGCAAAGTTTGGGAGATGATTAGCATGTGATCACACGGCTCTCCTGGTAACTGGTTCTGCTGTCCCTCGGCATGACTTTTTGCAGCAGTTTTAACACGTGCAGGCCGATGTTCCCATGTGCACTAAGCCAAGCCCCAGCCCTTTGTTTACTCTGGATGACGGGTGAATGCATGCATTCCCTAGACTTACTCAGTATAACTTTAAAATACAGTAATACATATAGAAAACTATTCTGTGAAATTAAACTTTTCATACATACTTTTGATTACACAAACATGCCTACATAAGTAAAAACAGGTAAACTAACGTCAATTTTTTAAAACAGGCATTCAGAAAACCTACTTTATTATATAATGGGCTTGCAGCTTTAATGGACACCCCCTCACCCAAATTAGTCTGTTATATTGAGGTTGTACTATACATAATCAAAAGGTCAATAAAACTGGGAAAATATGGATTCTCCTTGAAGTATCAGCATGTTCCCTGTAAATAACACCTCCTGTGGTAGAGGCTGTGATGTGCCACTGAGGTCTGCCTTTATGACTGAGGACTTGGTGCCTCTGTAATTCCGTGTTGCCAGAGACACTAGTTAGCTGTAATTCCTCTTCAGGAATTTCCAGAATTAAAAAGAGGGATTTACCCAAGGCCATGCGCCTTCTTGGGGTTGTACAGATGCAATGACTGCTTGACCTGGGATTGTAGAGGTCCAGGCCCCTCGCTCCAACTTGGGAAAACTCCCTGCAGAAGTGGTTGAAACCTTTGAGACTGCATTGCATCTCAACCTCTCCCCCTGCCTATTTCCTCTTCATCCCCTTCCCTTCCACAGGTCTCATCCACCTAACATTCCCTAATAAAGTCCTATGTGTTAGTCTCCATCTCAGAATTTGTGTTCTGGAAAGTGCAGTCTGCAAAACCTCCTTGGAACCACTTTCCTGAAAATCTGCTCACTAGTGATATGAAGTAATTGTCTCTGCTTTCTACTTTGTGTGTTATTTGCATGTGTATTTTGTCCCATTGTAGTATCTAATATTACCTAGGGTAATATATCATCCACATGCAGACTTCACCTACAATTCTGTAAAATTTTGGAGGAGCAGTAAATTTTTCAGATAACAATGTACCCAGTCATCAAGAGATTATAAATATATTTTCTTATCTGTTGGATATTTTGTTCCAAATTTAGGAGAAATTCTATATATAATTGTGTATAAAGGCCTATCGATGTGTTACAAAAGCAACAAGGTGGTTTGGCCATTGAAGTAAACGAGCAATTATTACATGAAGGAAGAGAAGGTATATTCAACTGATTGTTGAAATTTAGACTATTTCCCCTAACTAATCCTGCAAAGAATATTGCAGAATACATTTCCGTATATTACCTATTTTTTGCTGCATTACAATTTTTCAATAAGGAGGCAATTAACATAAACTAGTTAATCCCATTAATCTCATCACTTTAAAAGAAAAGAACTTATTGATAACTTTAAGAGAAGCAAAAATCTGAAACAAGTAAAAATATATGTTAAAACTTATTCCTTAGCAGAAGGATATGTGGAGAGAATAGTGATTAACTTCAAGGGGAGGGCACATGTCAGGCTTGCATGAGGAACATAGTGGAAAGATGGATAAAAAGTTTCCTGTTTCTCTT